TTCTAATGGGAAACACTAACCCAGTACAAAACAGTCAGAAGCCTGACTTTTTCAAGTCAAATAAGGTAAGTGACTTAACAGGTCTGCTTAAGGAAATTCAGTAGAACTGAGGAGAATCAGGAAAGGCTTTGTAAAAAAGGTGTCCTCTGAGATGGACTAAGAATGTAGGTGTATCAGAGAATGCTCGCTGCTCTAAGCCAACGTTCTTGTCTTTCTGGGCACACATCTGGACTACGATTCCAGCCTCCCTTACAATTTGGTTATATGACTTAGTTCTAGCTAATTGAATGGGAACAGCATCAATATCATTTCCTCACCTTGCCTATTAGAACACTGATTCCTTAATGTTCTTTCCTCTTCTGCTTAATTGGAATGAAGATTCCCCTCAGCGTGACTTGGAAGCCATCTGTGGAGGAGGCTCCAACCTCTTAAATGACTGTGTGAAAGAACCCAACCTAGTTAGCAGCTTGCTTACTGAATACTCTCATATAAGCAAGCAAGCAATTTGTGCTTGAACTATGATACATTTTGGGCTTTCTTTGTGACAGCAGCTAGCTTATCAGAGTTACTACGGATTAATAAGATTCTAGCAAGTGGTGTTAGATCTGGAGGTAGATAGCAAAAATCTGGTAGAGGAAAGAGTATGCCTGAAGGAATGAAACTAAACAAATTGTGACTTTTATTTATGGTGGCCCAGCAGTCTAATTGGAGTATAGGCCCAAATGTAGTATAGGTCCAAAATAGGAAAATTAAAAGATTCAAAAAAAGAGGGATTGGGCCAATTGAGAATACTCAGATATACCAAATGCATATTTTTCCCCATTCAAATTCCCATTTATCTGCTGTGGTCATAAATGTATGTTTCCATTTTACCTTTGTCTCTGGAGTACTTGTAATCAATTGCAGATGTCTCACTTATGGCCTTGACTAATTTTGACAATTTTCCTTTTGTGTTGCTGTATCCTCTCCCTCCTTTTCCATTTTGACTTATAATGCTGAGTCCAACCAATATGATCTAGAGAAATACTTATACACAATGACTTCATGAATATCTAGAAGGCTCTCAGGGTAGAACAAGAAAGTGATAAAAGGAACAGAGCCAAATTAGTTCCTATTTTAATTATCTTCCTTGATTTTGTTTTGTCATTCTCACTCAGACAGGAGAGTTAAGCTGGATCTATAAGCTGCCCTTCCCCCACCCCAGGGTCTAGTGGAATTTTATTTTCCCAAAAGTATTCTTGGAGGAACATAGAAGTTTCAATAGTATTTGCATGAAATGCTTATAACTGACGCCAATTGGAAACTGTTAACTTTTAGTTTCTCTTTAGCACATTATAAGTATAAATGGTAAAAACACTAATTTAAAACTAATACGCCAGGATTTTGAGATAAATACTTTAATATATTAATTCATTTAACTTTTATTACAACCTTATGGGGTGGATACTATTATTTCCCCCTGGTTTACTGATAAAGAAGTGGAGGCATTGAAGGAAAGTCAACTTGTTCTAAGGTTCAGAACTGATAAACAGGAGTCAGGATCTAAATTCAGGCCAATCTAACCTAGAGAACCCCAACTCAGCTCAAAAATACTACCCTAGTAGAAACCAGAGACACGCCATGGCAGTCGAGTTTCTCCTATTGCACACATGGGAAGACTGCGTTCCCTAGTCCCCAGTTCTGGTTCGGTTGGGGTCAACTGACGCTTCTGGGAAGAAATCAGGAAAGTAACAAAATATCACGCAGATTCTCTTTACTTCATGCCCTCCTGATGGGCTGAACAAAGAGGGAGGACCCTGTGCAGGACTCAGAGGAAGCAAAAAAAAGCAGTGGCAACACGGTGTAAGGAACCATGATTCCTCAACTACGGGGAAGCCCATCTGCCAAGCACCTGATTAGCCTGCAAGGAGAGCAAGAAATAACAATTTTCTTGTGTTAAGCACTGATAATTCCAGGGTATTTGCTACAATAGCTAGCATAAATGGCTTGAAAAATATGCATTGTTTATATTAAATGAGAACAATTTAAAATTTGAGTTCTTTAACCTTCAGCCTGTTATGTCTACCTTTCTGACCTTGTCCCCTCTTGGGTCATTTTTTCAGTTATCTCCTTGTTCATATTTTTCATTGGTATTTTTTTTTCTCCTGAATATATCCCCTGGGAACAAAAATCTTTAGGTTCTACAGCATGTGTGCTTCAATCTGTTTGTTCATTAGCCACTGTTCTGTTTGAATTATGTAGACCTTTCATGCCCTGATGAGTTAGAATCCAGTTCCAAAAGCCGATTCTATAAATTGTAGTACACATGATTACAGTTTGGTCTTAAGACCCTTGTAATAATTTCTAGAAACTTGTAAACTCCATAATTATCAAAAGAATTTGGGTCTTAACATATGTTTCTACCTTTTCTTCTACTTATCTCTCTTTCAGTTGCTTTTAATGATACATTATGTGAAAATAGTAGTGAAATACTGAAATAAGAACTGCTTGTCAGAAAAATGTAAGACATAAAACAGACCTCACATGCACTCTTTCATGAGCATACATACATTCAAGGGATTTTTCTGTTAAGATATCCATTTAGAGGAGTGATTAAAAAAAAAAAAACAGAAAAATAAAACAAAAAAGGAACCTACAAGAACTCTAGGCCACATGTCCCTAATTTCCATTTGCCTTAACTTTCCCCATAAGAATATGATAACTCAAGCAAAGCTGAATTAGAATCCTCTTAGTGTATACACACTTTACAAATATTAAGATTTCAAAATGCAGTACTGCTGGCATTCTAATTTTAATTACCCAAGGTACAAGACAATTTAACCTTTCAGAGATAATCCCGCCTACTTTGAATAATAGCAAATCTGGAGTTACCAAACACCGAACCTAAAAATCTGAGATGTAGCTGTAATACAAATAAAACTACTATAATAAAGGCATGTACAGAGGATTGTGATAGCTGAAAGGAAAGCACATTAGAGAATAATCTAGTAGGTTGATAGCAGTTTCGCAGGCAGTAAAAGAAGAAAATCTGTCCAGGTCTGAGGCATAAAAATGAATGGTTGTTAAGAAAATAGACAAAGGACTGTGGTCAAAGTTAGGTCCCAAGTGAAGTATCAGAAAATGAGGTTACAAATTGATAGAGGTAAATTGTAGGACCTTGTAGTAGAAGCTATCAGTCCTTGGACAGACAGCATACTCATTCTCCAACTATTGTTAACATTGGCCACCAACAACTCATGGTTGCATCCTTCTCAGGAAAACCACCCCTGGTCTACAAGAGTCATTCTGCCCACAGATGCTTGGGAGGTTACACTTCCCTCTTGGAGGGTGACCCATCACCAATGGCTGCTATGGAGTAGAAAAGAAAGCCTGGCCTCCTTGTCTTGTAGGGACAGTTCTGTGGTGATACAGCTGATCTAGTGGACTGCAGTATTCAGGGTTTGGTCACAGGACTGATCATTATAAGTGATACTGAATAAGTGGTTTTATGTACACAGTAGACTTATGCAATTATGAGTAATGGGTGAAGAAGTCTATGGAAAACTGTTACCACTGCATCTGATGGTAAATCCGAAGTGGCCAAAAGTCAGCGGATGGACAGTAAGAAAGAAAAAGTAGACGTAAAGTAGGAGAGAACAAGAACACACTAAAACTCACGAAGGCAGACTAGAACCAATAAGCACAAATGGAAATCCTTATCTGTCTCCCACTGCCTCCAACCTCAATGATATAGCTGACCTGTAAATGAAGCTGGAGACCTACATCATGGAGCTGCACCTTCATTTCCAGGACTCAGAGAAACTGAAGGAAACCAAATGGGAGCTGGAATGGCTCTGGACCCAGCTGCTGTCTCTGGTCAAGCACGAGAGCCAGCAGATTGGCAACCATGGGAGCAATCTGCAACAGCACCTGGTGCCCTTCGCTAGCCTCCAGAGTAGAAGGGTTGTTGCTTCACTTCTGAAAATTCTTGCAAATTCCATGCATATTTCTCTTGTGGCCAACCTTAAAGCCAAAACCATAGAGGGAAGGGGATTCTAGGAAATGTAATTTTAGCCTAACTACATTGATATGGTACAGAACCATCACAAGTTCCATACTATCAACTGAACATTCATTTTTACCTAGACTTTATGTAGACTTCAGCTGAGCACACAGTTATACCTTGATTGTCCTGCCCATTCTGTTTCCCAATCATAGGCTTCGCCTAAAAGCATTGCATCAGCAAACCACTTGCGCAAGCATTCTATTTTGGTCTCTGCCTCTAGGTAACACAAACTAAAGCAGTCCCCATCATGCTAATGGAGACAGGGAGCTGTTGATGGCTATTTTTTTAATTGGAGGTAAGCCAACTAGAAAGGTGACATGAGGTACTTACTGAATCAAGATGCCAAAGGCTTTAAGGTGCACTAAAAGAAAAAAGAAATACTGCTAATTTAAATTATAAAGCAATGCTTCCTGATCACTTAAAATTATTCTTTTACATTTGTTGAAAAAACTACTTTTAGAATTAAACATTGATTTCTATCAGTTATCATTTTTCTACATACATTAAAAAAGATTTTTTTTTTTTAAGATTTTATTTATTTATTTGAGAGAGAGAGAATGAGAGACAGAGAGCATGAGAGGGAGGAGGGTCAGAGGGAGAAGCAGACTCCCCGCCGAGCAGGAAGCCCGATGTGGGACTCGATCCCGGGACTCCAGGATCATGACCTGAGCCGAAGGCAGTTGCCCAACCAACTGAGCCACCCAGGCGCCCAAAAAAGAATTTAATGAAAATAAAATGGCTAAGGTATTTTCTCAAAACTTCTTCATATGAAGTACCCAAAATTGAGTCATTTCTTAACTTGGAATGGTCAATATCTATGATTTGACATACTAAATCTTTGTCCATGCCCTCAAGAATGTTGGTAATACATTTCTTAAAGAACTGATAAAAGCTCAAAGCCAGCTCGTTGCGCAGTAATGCTAGCGGCTTCCCTATTCCGCTCTCGGAACCGGCAGCACTCCCTCGTGCTGAGCTGCTACGAAGCCCCTGCCGGCGAGCTCGTAGGAGCTTGGAACCGTTGTCACCCCTCCGTGTCTCACCAGGGGGAAAAAATGGTTGAAGCAGATCGCCCAGGAAAGCTTTTCATTGGTGGCCTCAATACAGAAACAAATGAAAAAGCCCTTGAAGCAGTATTTGGCAAATATGGACGAATAGTGGAAGTTCTATTGATGAAAGATCGTGAAACCAACAAATCGAGAGGATTTGCTTTTGTCACCTTTGAGAGCCCAGCAGATGCTAAGGATGCAGCCAGAGACATGAATGGAAAGTCCTTAGATGGAAAAGCCATCAAAGTAGAACAGGCCACTAAACCATCATTTGAAAGTGGTAGACGTGGACCACCTCCACCTCCAAGAAGCAGAGGCCCTCCAAGAGGTCTTAAAGGCGGAAGAGGAGGAAGTGGAGGAACCAGGGGACCTCCCTCACGTGGAGGGCACATGGATGATGGTGGCTATTCCATGAATTTTAACATGAGTTCTTCCAGGGGACCACTTCCAGTAAAAAGAGGACCACCACCACGAAGTGGTGGTCCTCCTCCTAAAAGATCTGCCCCTTCAGGACCAGTTTGCAGCAGCAGTGGAATGGGAGGAAGAGCTCCTGTGTCACGCGGAAGAGATAGTTATGGAGGCCCACCTCGACGGGAACCCCTGCCGTCTCGTAGAGATGTTTATTTGTCCCCAAGAGATGATGGATACTCTACTAAAGACAGCTATTCAAGCAGAGATTACCCAAGTTCTCGTGATACAAGAGATTATGCACCACCACCAAGAGATTATACTTACCGTGATTATGGTCATTCCAGTTCACGTGATGACTACCCATCGAGAGGCTATAGTGATAGAGATGGCTATGGTCGTGATCGTGACTATTCAGATCATCCAAGTGGAGGTTCCTACAGAGATTCATATGAGAGTTATGGTAACTCACGTAGTGCTCCACCTACACGAGGGCCCCGCCATCTTATGGTGGAAGCAGTCGCTATGATGATTACAGCAGCTCACGTGACGGATATGGTGGAAGTCGAGACAGTTACTCAAGCAGCCGAAGTGATCTCTACTCAAGTGGTCGTGATCGGGTTGGCAGACAAGAAAGAGGGCTTCCCCCTTCTATGGAAAGGGGGTACCCTCCTCCACGTGATTCCTACAGCAGTTCAAGCCGCGGAGCACCAAGAGGTGGTGGCCGTGGAGGAAGCCGATCTGATAGAGGGGGAGGCAGAAGCAGATATTAAAAACAAACAAAACTTTGGACCAAAATCCCTGTTCAAAGAAACAAACAAAAAAGTGGAACCTTTTCTGTCATAACTACCCAAGGACTACTAAAAGGAAAAATTGTGTTACTTTTTTTTTTTAATTTCCTGTTAAGTTCCCCTTCCATAATTTTTATGTTCTTGTGAGGGAAAAAAAAGTAAAACCTGTTTAATCTTAAAAAAAAAAAAAAGCTCAAAGCCATTAGTGCTCAAAAGCTAGATGTGCAGTCGTGTAAAGCTAGACTACTTTTCCACCTTCTCTTTAAGAATGTTGTTCTACCGTTGTTCTTGGGTTATTATTTTTTCTTTTTTATTAAGATTTTCTTTATTTATTTGACAGAGAGATAGAGAGAGAGCATAAGTAGACAGAGAGGCAGGCCGAGGGAGAGGGAGAAGCAGGCTCTCCACTGAGCCCGGAACCCAATGCAGGGCTCAATCCCAGGACCCTGGGATCATGACCTGAGCTGAAGGCAGCCATTAACTGACTGAGCCACCCAGGCACCCCGGGTTATTATTTTTTCTAAGTCACTGACATCTGTGCAAGTTATGATACTGAGACACTTGAGATTTGGGCAAAAAAGACACTAATAACATCATGACTGCCACCTGGCTGGCAGTGATTGGAAGAAGCATTCTGATTGCAAACAAGTTAAAATAAGAGAAGTTGAGTGATTAGAATCAATAAACTATGGTACCTGAGGAGGAATTGAAAATGGACAGGTAATAATTAGGAAATGGATTCCGTGGCATTGGGGTTAATTTAGACAAAAGATGACAAGGACTGGTACGAGAAGATTAACTATAAATAAGAGGAGGGATTTGAGTTGCATTTAAGATGCAAAACTAGCATGGATATTTAAGGTAAAAAATCCTAAATGAAGATATTCTTGATTCATATATATTAAAGATTCTAGAGATTATTATACCAAATAACACAGCTTTACAAATGGGAATGTATATAAAGACTGAAGCTCATAATCACAAGGTTAAAGAACTTTTTGTGATTTTACAGTTCTTAATGAATTTGTAGATTTATATAGATTTAGTTGAATCTGTTGTCAATATTAGGGTGTTAGAGTAACTCCCACACAAATGATTTCCATTTATTAACTAAGCAATGATGTTGGGCCTCAGCTTCTGAACAGACTCCTATCTACAAATAGCTTAGGGAGTCCTGTTCTAAAACAATATACTTATGAAATATAATAATATTTTGAAATTCAGTGCAAATTTGTTCTTCTATTCAGTTATTATTATGGTTTAGATTTATTCTCTTCCACTTCATGATTAAATAGACAAATTTTACCTTGAAATGTCTCTGTTATTTTTTCTTTTTATGCATTTTAGTTATTTGAAGAAAACATCTTATTTGCATTAATAATACCTCCAGATATGTGTATGTGTCTAAATCAATTACCAAGCAATACTGCTTTGGTTATTTCAATATTTTTACAATAATTAAATTCAACCTTTAAAACTTCAAAGACTTTGATTGCCATAACATATACTTCAAAGCAGACTGTTTGACAAAAACATAATTTTATTGGCAATATCTATTCCTAACACAGTTTTTAAAGTTATTTATAATTTGTTTACTTTGCACCCTGTTTCACCATGCATTTTAATGTAAAACATGATTTTTTAATTTTTTTTTTTTTTAGAGAGGGAGAGAAAGAGGGAGAGAGAGAATCTTAAGCAGGCTCCATGCCTAGTGTGGAGTCTGACTTGGAGCTTGTTGTCTCACAACCCTGAGATCATGACCTGAGCCAAAATCAAGAGTCAGGCGCTTAACCCACTTGCTACCCAGGCACCCCTGTAAAATATGATTCTTTGGAGAAACTGCATGATCAAAATTTGAAACACCAAATTTATTGTTGGTTAACATATTAAGATAGGGTGAAAAATGTAGGTCTCCCATCATCCCCTCACATCATTTATGATTACAACCTGTAGGTGAGCCAAGTAGATAACTCACAATCTTAAACAAAAAACTAAGCTGAATAAAGCCTCGTGTTTGGAAATTGTCAATTCTTGCAGATATCGTTCACTTGGTTTCAAAAATAAGCTGTAAAGCATCTGTTAAGAATCAAATGATTTCCATCTGTCACCACATGCGTGTGTCATGCATATATTTATGTAAGTGTTTTTTAATTCTCACAATTTCAAATATACGTAAGAGAAAAGAAAGTGGTGTCATAAACCGATATACTCACCTTCCAGCTTCAGTATTATCAACATTTAGTCATTCATAGTTTAATATAACATTTTCTATTACAATTATTATTAACTACCACCACCACCACCATTTGAAGACCAGCGTTATACGCTAGTGTATCAGTGAAAGTTCTTAATTGTAAGCAGTAGAAGAAAACTCGCTAATTTAAGTGGGAAAGAAGGTTACTTGATAAAAATAAAATATAGAAGGATCAAAAAATTCTTGGAGATAAAACATTCAGGAACACTGCCAAAAATCACAGTAGAGCTTCCTTAATCACCACTGAAAATTAAGTGTAGCTTCCATCTTTACCATAATCTTGCCAAATAAATTTGACGTCAGCCTTTATTCTATAAGCCTCTAGCTTCAGTGATGTGATTAGCAACATCTAGCACACATGCCTCTGCATAAACTGGTAACTAGCTTCTGTGGTGGGAGGTATTCTAAGAATCACAATGTGGGACATTTCTTAACTGTAGAAAACTAACGCAGGTGCTGGAAGACAAAAGAGGAGCACTAAGCATTCCATTCAGGCACTGGGCTGCATATTTTACATGCATTCTTAGTCAAATTTGCCTATAAGTCTCTTATCCTCACTTTAGAGAGAAAGTGATTAAAGTTAAATAACTTTCCCAAGGTTATACAGTCACTAAATACTGAAATTTGGATGTCAATAAAGGTCTATCTGCTCCGAAGTCTGTGTTAAGGACTGCACTGATTTTAAATTTTTAAAGAAGCTATTTACAAAAGCCATCTACTGCAATCAAATTCGGCATCTTGCAGTAAGACAGTGATGGTCAAGGAGAATGTTCAGGTAACTTGTCCAAAGTCCTATCACAAACAACCCCAGAGCAGACTACCTGAAAGGAGTTTGATAAATGATGGTCCCTACAATTATGCATGCAGCCTACTGATTGTGAAGAAACTGGTATCCCCAAATTCAGAGTCCATCTTAACTATTAAGTTTATTCTAGAATTTACTCAGGATACCAGAACTGTAAGACAGATAAACTGTCTAAAACAACCAACCAAAACGCCAGAGAACAAAATGGTAATGGCCCTTAGCCTGAGATTGACAGGAGGCAAGACATCCATCTCTTCCCAAGGAAGGACACTTGATTTGTTGCTGCATTTGCTTGAAATCAATCTCAGACATTTCAGACTGAAAGGAACAACAACTCCATAAAGAATCAATACAATTTAATGAAGCTTATATACTTGAAATTATGTCAGGGGTTTTCTACACTCCTGCATTCACATACCTATAGATGTATATTGATAAGTACATCTGACAATGTAGAAGGCTAGAGGTGTACATAAAAATGGGGAAAGATTGGGATGCGTGGGTGGCTCAGTCCTTAAGTGTCTGCCTTCAGCTCAGGCTCAGGTCATGATCCCAGGCTCCTGGGATCGAGCCCCGCATCGGGCTCCCTGCTCCGCGGGAAGCCTGCTTCTCCCTCTCCCACTCCCCCTGCTTCTGTTCTCTCTCCTGCTGTGTATCTCTCTGTCAAATAAATAAATAAAATCTTCAAAAAAATGAGGAAAAATTATCTGAGAAGACTTGTTCGTCCTAAGAAATTTTCACTTCAAAAGTATATGTACATAACACCCAGTGCTCATCACAACACATGCCCTCCTTCATACCCATTGCCCTGCAACTAATGAATCATTGAACACTACATCAAAAACTAATGATGTACTATAAAATGGCTAACTGAACATAATAAAAAAAATTATATGTACAAAGATTTCTTTTCCCATGTTCTGGAAGGACCTACATTTGGATAAGGTAAAATAAAACTAAGAAAAAAAATTAAGTATCGTACAAAATTATCAGTCATGTTGTTACATACCGTACTTATATTTTTTGCACTTATTGAGTTACTTACCAAGGAGGGAACATTCCTAGAAATGGAATTTTCAAGTATAAAGAAATGCATTAAAGCTTTTGGTTCCATTATGCCCTCTAGAGTTATAGAAAACTACAATGTGACAGTTGTATATGAAAAGAGCTATTCTCCCACATATTATTTCATTAATATTTTCTAATAAAATAAATTTTAGATAAGTTTTAAATAAGTATTTCTTTGATTTCTTCTGAGGTAACATGTTTTATATATGTGTTATGTTATTCATTTGAATTGCCTGTTTATGTCTTTTCCCATTTTTCTGTTAGAGTGCTAGTGCATGTGTGTGTGTGTGTTATTGTTGTTTAAGAACATTCTGTGTATTAAGAAAAAAATATATTTTGTATATATTGCAACATTTTTCTATTTGTTTATTTACCCATTACATGTTTATTTGTTTGTTTATATATTTTAATTTGGTGTAAAGATGTTTTAAACACATGGTCAGTTCTAACACCTTCTCATTAAAGATTTTGGCAGTAATCTTAAAATTTAGAAAAGTTTTCCCTGTCTCTTATGTAAATATCCATTCATTTATATTTTCTTCATAATTTTGTGAGTTCATTTCTCATTGAAAATTTTAATTTTTATAGAAAATTCATTTTTATTGCAGTTATCTATTTGTATGTGCATATACTGCATATAATTTACACTTTCTCAAAATTGGCCATTTGTCAATCCATTATCTAAATATAACATTTATTTTCTGTTTGACCAATCATACTTTTTATTCCCTTTCTCTCCTCTTGTTTATCTTTTGGATTTACTACATATCATTATTATCAAAATTTTCCATTTTTCCATTTTCTGTCTACTAAATTGTGAATTATGCATTTTGGGGAGGGTACCCTAAATATTACAGCAAACATTCTTAACTTCTTGCAGTCTAATTAGTTCTTACAGATAATTACTTCTTCAGTAATATTAGTATCTGTTTTTAAAAAAAAATATGAAGCTAGCTGGCTTTGAAGAATTTGCATAACTTTTGGGCATCCAGCCTGCTGCGTTTTAGGTTTTTAAAAAACAG